CAACTGACCTTGATGCACCCATGAACGGCCTCACCTCCTAATCCTCAGGCTGCCAGCTCATTATGACCTCCTCTAGCAGGGCGGGCAGTTCTGTCAGCTTCACCTAGCTCATCAGCTGCGTGGAGCGTTTCTGGTACTCCTGCACGGCCTGCAGGAACACCTCTACCTCATGGGCACTCACCTGGAACAAGCACAAGATAATGAGCCTTAAGTTTGGATATAGAGGAGTTTAAGGTTATTAAATGAATACATTCATATTTGGCAGTATACTGTAGCTTACCTGTAAGCATGAGGGGTTTACATACACAGAGACTTACTTTCACCATGACTTAATGACACACAGGGATTAAGAGACTAAACGATTTTATGTTATTTTAAAAAGCTTCTGAAGAAGGCAAAAGCATGGTATAATATTTTGGGGTTTTAGGGCATAAAGCTATGCTGACATGAATTGAAAGAAGTGTTTTAAAATGTGCAAACATGGTCTAGAAACCTTGATCTGCTTAAACGTTAATTTTTTATCTCACTATTATGTAAAAGCTTTTCAAACAGAAACAAAACTATGATTTCAAACAATTTACAATTCTGCCTGTAGGGGGCAGCATACCAAAGAAAATCCCGTTAGAGGAAACCGAAGAAGAAGCTTTTCCGGCTAAACCGGAAACGCGCCAAAATAGAATTTTAGCAGAAGCAGTAAACAAACCGCTGTTCGTCTTCTAGAACATTTACGTTTTGTTGGAATAGTCGGAGAACGTTTATAACAGAAGAATGGACCCAACAACAACCTTCTTCTCCAAACTGAGAAAGCTGGCGAAAACTTTGGAAACAGAAACCGAGAGACTCCAGCGCGTCTATGAGAGCCGCGGTGAGGAGAGCGACTCCGGTGAGTCAGACGGACAGCATCATCTAAACATGGAGTCTGTCTTCGTGCGTTAAATGTGAGTTAATGTCGTTACAGGAGCCAGAGCCGGAGCGATGCGAGCCTATTACGAGCTGAACAGTGAAGTCAGCGATCTAAAGGTGTTTCTTTTTTACTCTAAAGCTGTTTAAGCTACTCTATAAATACAAACATTAGAAAATAAACAAGGTGCTACTTTAATCAAATATGTGACAACCGAATATCTATTGTTTGTGTTTCTCTTTGGGCTTTTTGACTTATTTTGTTTCTGCTTAAAAAATTTTTTTTATAAAGCCCCTTCCGCTTAGACTACTGTAACTCTCTTTTCACGTGTCTGAGCAGAACCTCCCTGAACCGTCTACAGGTGGTTCAGAATGCCTGTGCTCGGCTTCTGACCAAGTCCTCCAAACACGCCCACATCACCCCGCTTCTCCTCCAGCTTCACTGGCTGCCAGTCAACTTCAGGGTTCATTTCAAGATCCTGGTTCTGGTCTATAGGGCCTTACATGGACAAGCACCATCTTACATTGGTGATCTTCTCAGTCCCTACACCCCCAGCAGGTCCCTGAGGTCCAGTGATCAAAGCCTACTGGTTGTGCAGCACCAGGCTAAAGACCAAAGGTGACAGATCATTTGCTGCTGTGGCCCCCAGACTCTGGAACTCTCTCCCCCTGAGCCTGAGATCAGTGGACTCAGTGGTCTCCTTTAAAAAGCAGCTGAAGACTCACTTGTTCAAGCTGGTTTTTGTGTGATCTTCATCACCACTCTCTCTTTATTCTGCTCTCCCCACCTATTCCACCTTCCTCAGGATCCACTGATTTCCCTCTTTCCTATTCTCTTTCTTTCTTAACATTTTTTAATCACAATTGCCTATTTTTTGCTCATTTTAAATATATTTTTAAACATTTTCTAAATTCTTTTTTATATTTTTACATTTTTTGTTTTCGTGAAGCGCCTCGTGATTTTTATCTTGAGAGACGCTATAGAAATGATATTTTCTTCTTCCCACCCCCAGTCAAGAGGGCCCAAGGTGCTGAACATAGTGCTGAGAAGCAGCACAATAAACCAGCTCTATAATAAAATACAGAGATAAAAACGTTTAAAAACAAAGAAAGAGTTAAAAACAATAAAAATGGTTATCAAAAACGTTCAAATGTGAATAAAAACAACTAAACAGATCTAAAATACAGCTTAAGCCTTGCTTTAAAAGTGGGCAGCGATGTGGACGGCTTGATTTCCTATGAGAGTTGGTTGGTTCCAAAGCCGAGGACCCAGAACTGCAAAGGTACGATCACCCCTAGACTTACGCTTTGATCGTTGTACCATCAAAAGGTCGCTCTGACCTGAACGTAGCGATCTTGCGGGGGACATAACGGGTCAGCAGGGAGGCTAAATATGGTGGCGCTGATCCAGACAGGGATTGAATAACAAGGACCAGGATTTTGAACAAGATGCAACTCTTCACCGGTAGCCAGTCCAAAGCTGTCAGGAGGGGAGTGACGTGCTCCCACTTACGGGCTCCATACAGAAATCTGGCAACAGCGTTTTGGACCAGCTGGAGCCGAGTCATTAAGGACACAGAGGGAGTTGCAGTACTCTAGCCTAGAGAGGATAAAAACATTGGCTACAGTTTTCCTAAATAATATAGATGAAGCTTCTTTAAATGTATTTTCTTACATGTATGTATTTATTTTGTAAAGTTAGCTGTAAAAGCACCTTTATTGTTCTGGTCCGTCATCTAGGATCAGATCCGGGGTCAGCTGACTGAACAGAAAGCACAAGAGAAGGAAGTGAGTGACTTCATCCATGCCTGTAGAGTGATGGAGCAGAAGGTTACTAAAGACATCCAGGCTGTCAGGACACACCTGGAGATCTATGGTTATCGAGTTTGTACGGAGCTCCAGACACCAGGCGGTGAGTAATTACTAAAACTCGTTTGTCTTTGGTTTTAACTGAGACCACTAAATACCCAGAAAGTTTGCTGTAAGTTGGACTTTCTCTTCCGCAGAGGTGAACAAACAGCAGGCAGAGGCTGAAGCACTAATAGAGGAGGGTGAACCCAGCTCAGCAGCTGCTGAAGGTGACGGTCAGGAGACAGATGAAGGGGTTCACTGCTCATCACCTCCAAAAATGGAGCCCATCTTCACTGATGGGATGCAAACCCCTAAGCTCTCAGATTTTGGTCTGTCTAAGATGCAGCTTCAGAGAGCTCTAGCTGGGGCAGACTGGTGCTCTGATGTCCCTCCGATGCCTAAGATGAGCCTCCCATGCCCCTCGCTCAACATACCGGCGTCGCCTCCCATGCCCCTAACTCCTAAACGGGCCCTAAGGATGGACGACGAAGAGCTGCAGGAACCTCAGATGCACGATTTTGGCATCTCGGAGCACAACATGCCTCTGAACAATGACTTCACCATGAATCTTTTACTGAAGACCCAGAGGTAGAAAAGGTTTATTACTTAATGTATCGATACTGAGCTCCAGCAGTAACAACCAGATCAGTAGCTGCGCTGCTCTACATCTTTGCTACATGTCTCTCCTCCACAGGTCACCACCAGACATAGTCGTACCACCATCTCTAAAGGAGGGTGTGCAGACAGCAGGTATCAAACCAGTTGTTGTTTTCAGTCACTTCCAGGTGCTTCTCTACCACCTCAGCTTTTGTTTCTTCTTGTTTTGGAGCAGAAGCACAAACCTTATTCCTGCTGTAGCAATATCAGATATGATCTCATCCTTTTAGCTCTAAATCCGTCTAGGAGGCGACATCTAAAGTCATGTCTGGTTTTCTTTAAACTTTATTTTGTGAAACACATTTGAAAACATTGATGCTCTCAACATGAATAGCTGTGAAGAAAACATACATTTTGTAATGAATTAGATTACATGTTATTTAATGAGCCATAAGGCGTGGGATTCCATAGGAAACATGAAATCCACCTTACGGATCTGTGAGGTTATTTAAACCAGAATATTGGAACTTTTTATTGCAGGGATTAGATAACAGCTTCGTATTCACTCAGAGACAACAGAAGAGAGAGTCGAGTTTAAAATTTTAAAGATTTACTACTAAACAAATTAAACTAGACTAACTTTAACACTAAATGTATGGTGTAACTAAGGTGGATAAGACGGAGAATGGTGTAATGTGGAATGTTGCTCAGAACCAGCAAATCCGAAGAAGCGATTAGTTCTGATGAGAACAGAAGGTGATGTCTTCACGTTAAGCTTTGGTTAGGAGATTAATAAACACATTCGACGCTATTTGCCGGTCTACCTACCCTTCAGAAAGTCCCCGTCTAGATCAGGAATATTGAGGTCCAGCTTGACCTTCTCTGGAACCGAAGCCGGTAGGAAAAGCAGCGGTTCAGACCAGTCCAGTCTGTGAGTTACTTCCGGGTCACGGCACTTTGTTGGCGTCTGGTGAGACCCGAGCCTGGGTGTTGATGGTTCAGCTTTTTTTCTGAAAGGAACTGTTGCAGCAGTTGGTATAGCTACGAATTTTTTTCAGCTTGTCGTCGTTCTTTCGGTTGAAGAGTATAGATCAGGATTGGCCACTCCGTCACTTTGGAACGCTTTGAACTGGCGTTAGAGCTGACGTGGCATAGTTTTATACTTCGGATGTTATGGTTTATTGTCGAATGAAAATTACCAAACACCATCAGAACCACGCCTCCGTCAGATCTGTAAGATTTTGATTGGATCAGTGAAAGCAATGTCGTGTCTTTTAATGCTACATGAAATGAGAGTCCTGTTGGAACATTTAAAGTCACAGTACCTTTATATTCTATAGGATTATAATAAAGTAATTAATATTTTTATTTCACAGGTCGTTCACATCTTATTTATTGACTAACACTTTGATGGATTAGCTTTATTAAAATAGAGTTCTTTGATTAATTAAAAGAAAAGAGTTCATTCTTCTGTTGAGCTGAAAATAAGCAGGTTAGAAGGAATGCATGAGACCTTGAGACCACATCTCATGCAGACTAGTCTTGTGCAGAGGAGGGAAAAATAAGTCATTTCATTCCGTTACAGTTTGGAGCATACAATGTTATTAGTGCATAAAACAACACACCTGTGCTGTTAAAAAGAGGTGATCACAGTTAAGCTTTTCTTGTTGTCCTTAGCTGGCAAGTTGCAGTCTGCGCTTTGGACCCCAGGGTTTAAGATGAAAAAGCCCAACGCTCACTACTCCACACCAAAGCAGGACAAGTACGACCCAGAGTCCTCTGGTCAGACATGTGACCCCCCGGTCACCCCCCAGGTCCCAGCCTTTAAAACCCCGTATGTGAACCGACTGGTCAGCACCAAAAAGGTGCGGGACTTTTGAACATTTTCCATCTTTGTCTCTGGACGAGCCGGTGGTCAGTCGGGTGAACATAAATAACAGCTTAGATAACGTGTTTTCTCTGTTTGCAGAGTGCACAGCCTGAGCCAACCAGCTGTAACGGATCCAAACTAAGATGGGAGTGCAATGTGCCCGAAATATCTGTTGGTTTTGAGGACAAGCAGATGCCAGAGCTGCCAAACTTGGAGTCATTTTTGGGAAATTCTCTGCAAAACGTAAGACTTCCAAAGAAACAGTTTTTTGTCTCCAAGCTGCAGGCTACCTCCCAAAATCTAAAACAACTGGACCAACAGATGGCATTCGAGAGTCTTATAAGTCCTGCAAACACAACTCAAACCACGAAACCTGCTGGGTTATTGTTGACTGGGAAAATCGATTCAGTGTATAAACTGAGCAGCTGCAGGTGTGTTTTATTAAAATGACAGCTGTGTGTGTGTGTGTGTGTGTGTGTGTGTGTGTGTGTGTGTGTGTGTGTGTGTGTGTGTGTGTGTGTGTGTGTGTGTGTGTGTGTGTGTGTGTGTGTGTGTGTGTGTGTGTGTGTGTGTGTGTGTGTGTGTGTGTGTGTTCCTGCAGAGTAATGGGAAGATGCTGAAGATTAGAGGAAAAGAGAACATAGGAAAAGACCGCGCCGTCAACAGGCTGGAGCTAGATGGACCCACGCAGGAGTTCAGCTTAGGAACGCCTCGCGTCAGAGCCAACTACCAGGAGCCCAGCACCCCTGAGATGCCAGACCTCAGCTCTGTTACTGGCGACATTTGTAAAGTAAGAGCTGCTGATCGTTTTCTGTTTCCTTTTACACTGACTTTTATTTTTCTGCTCATTCTGACCGGCTAAACGTTTAAAAGCTATGAAAACAAAAATCTGTTAAATGTGCTGATTCATCCTCACCACCACACGTTCCTGACATCATTTCGTCTTTTGTGTTGTAGCTTGTGTCCTTGGCTCAGATGAAAAAGACGAAGAGTGCACCCTCGAACATGCATGTGAAGCCAGATGACGACAGACACGGGTAAAACATAGTGAGGATCTGGGCCTTAGCAGGCTGCCAGAGGTGGAAAGTAATGAATTACATTTACGTCACTGTAATTGAGTAGCTTTTTGTGTATTTATACTTTTTAAGTCGATTTTAAAATCTTTACTTTTACTTGAGTACTTTTTTTAAAACAATTGTAATTCGCTACATTTTAAATCATATCCGTTACTGAGTAAAAATAAATTGTAGGCTTAATAAATTAAAAGTATTGCATGTGGCAACGTCGGAACAGGAAGAGACACCTGCATGAGCGCCGCGTCTAAACCGTGTGTGTGTGTGGGGGGGGTACACTTGATAATGAGGACAAACAGCCATTTTTACCACAGTTTTGCTCAAAAACATCAGTTCAGTCCCTGTGATCCACTCCCTGTTTACCTCCTCTCTCCCTCCTCTCCTGTGGGTTGGAACCTGCACCGGTGTGACGTCATCACAATTCCACTCGGTTCGTTAACCAGACTCGGTTCCATGTTTGAAATGTGTTTCCCTACCGCTCCGCACGGAAGCGGCAAAATAATGTTTAGCGCTCATAACAAGCGGATTCTCAGCGCTTTGCTCATAAAACAGAAGGTCTGCAGGCCTCTGTGAGTTAAAACATCCTGATGCTGTTCAGGTGTAAACATTGTGCTCCATCCCTGTGTCTGAACTCAGAAGATGCTTCTTGATGCCACAGATATGTGATGATTTAGCTTGTTTCTTTATTTTACTCCAGAATAAGAGATTAAATTATTACAGAAGCAGTTCAATGTAGCTAAATTAGTCATTCAAAAGATTCTAACATGCTGCAGTGTGTGTGTGTGTGTGTGTGTGTGTGTGTGTGTGTGTGTGTGTGTGTGTGTGTGTGTGTGTGTGTGCGTGTGCGCGTGCGTGTGCGCGCACACGAGCGAATTGTGAACTGGCATTGTGATTTAGCACTATTTAGATGTAGCCATCCTTACGCTGACAAAAATTTAACTAAGTAACTTTTACTTTGAGTACATTTTATTCATGATACTTTTTACTTTTACTTGAGTGAAAACTTAGGCAAATACTTTTACTTGTACAGGACAGAGGACAGGAGAACACGCAGCTAATTAATTAAATAAATTGGTTCTGTACCTTTCTCTTCAGCACAGCCGACAAAGGTTTATGATGGGTCAGTCCTCCTGCATGCTCAGATCATTCCCTTCCCTTGCTTGAAAAATTGTTCCAAAATGAAAGTTGAACCCACATCTTTTTTATCTGTGAATTCAATGCCGTTCGGTGAGTCTCAAATAAAAATTTGGGCATCTTACTGTAAAAAAATATACCATCAATGTAAAAAAGAAACTCTAAATGAACTATGTTCACACCCAGAATCAAACACAGGTCTTCTGCATGAGAGTCAGACTTCTTACAAGGTGAGCTACACTCTAGTAACATTTACAGTATCTGTAACTTATATATCCTTGATGACAGCTGAAACAACGTCAAACCAAAGAACGGTTCGGAGCGAAAATGGCTTTTTTGTTGCTAATTTGCAGGAAATATCTAGAAGAAAGTTCTACAGAAAGTAGCTAAGGGTCCTCAGAAATGTAGCTAGGTTTGTCACTAGGCGTTAGGAACAGCGACAAAGTGGCACTACCTCTCTCTGCTGCTAAAGCTACGGATAGCAAATGCTACGGTCTATGCCTGAGCGTGAATGCGCATGCAGCAGCCTGCTCGACCCGAGCATCTCTCTTTTTCTGTGATTTTACAGAAAAACAGACAATCACAGTAAAAATGCCAGGGCTCATTCTACAGGACCAGGGCATTGCAGGAGAATGTATGAAGAAGACATTTATTATTTCTATACATGTTTTGGCTGTCAAACTTCCATAATGTCCCTTTAACATAAAAGGCACCTTTCTCTACTTCTTTTTTAAAATGAGGAATAACTAAAGAAAGCTTATCATTGATCCTGGTATCACACACACCGAGCTGAAGGGTATTAATAACATTTTCAGGTAAGATGGAAAATCAAAAACATTTAAAAATAAATAAAAACCAGTGACAACCTAACATTCAGTCTGAGACGCTAAACCCAACAGAACCTGGGCTTTTTAACTGCTTCTTAAAACAGCAAGGAGAAATAATAATGCATGTTTAAAGGTGCGTCGTCCTCTCTGTTGAGTGATAAGAGACTGCACCACTCTCTCTCTTGCTGTCCGAGCACAGGAGCGACTCACCGGCCCAAATCTGACTGAACCTGTTGGGTTTACTTGGGTCAGGTTTGGTCTCGGGTTAGAACTCCAACGAGCAGCCCTGCAACACCACATAAAGGGGGACCGGTGTTTCCTACTGGATAAATGTGAAGGGACACACACATGCGACCCCACTCTGACTAATTTTGGCTCAACACCGATGCTGGTGTTAACAAAGCTGCATTCCATTATAATCGATAAGGATGGGCTTCTTCTATGGTTCAGAAATGTTTATGTCCACATCTCGGTGCATCGATTAATTGATTATTTTCTTCAGCCCTATTGCTGATGCCAATGCCGATATGTAGTGGTCACGGTCAGCCGATGGCCGAGTGTCATGGCTGATCCCTAGACGTTTCTACTTTCATGTTCAAATATCACTAAAACATCAGTTGATGCACATTTCTGAGGCTGAAATGGTTTTTGAACACTGAATTTAACCAACTGGTAAATCTTAAATGTAGGGATGCAACGATACCACTTGTTTCCAAACGATATACCGACACTTGGATCTGAGTACTCGCCAATACCGATTACCAATACCAATACCAAAAAAATGCAATGATTTGGAATGCAGGTTTTATTTTCTTCTCTGTTTTCAATAGGAAAAGACTGAGGTAGATAAAAAAAATGTTAATATAAATGATCACAAAACTAAAATGTTACGTGAACAGAAATGACAAGTTACAGTGAAGTCACTTTCAAGCAACTGCATTGGTATCAGTTACTGTAGGGTATCCGCGGGTCCTTAAAAAGTCTTAAAGTCTTAAATTAGCTTTTCCAAATTTAAGGCCTTAAAAATCCTTAAAAATGACAAATAATCCTTAAATAGAGTTTCCAAATGTCTTAAATGACCAAAGACCCAACAAACAAGATTCTTTTATTTCTATGAAAATTTCATGAATTTCTAGTTAGTGTTCAGCATTTTTTGTGTACAATGTTGGCGTAAGCGGAACCGTACACATTCAGTTGGTTGTGAAAGGGGACTATTTTTAGATGAGCACATTAGCTGGTTAAGCTAGTGGGAGCTTGCGCCATGGGGAAGTGCAAGTTTAATGGTAACTGGATGGTTAATCCCATGTTCGCGACGTGGTTAGCGCTGGTTTCAGGCTATAGCTGGAAATTATAGCTTAAATTTAATTTTAAAATTTGCTTAAATTTGGTCAAGGTGGCCTTAAAAAAGGTCTTAAAAAGTCTTAAATTTGGCTCCCTTAAACCTGCAGATACCCTGTACTGGTATCTGTTCACTTTTACAGATACTGATACTGGTATCAGTATCTGTATCGGCACTGATACCGATACCAGTATCGTATCAGTGCATCCCTACTTAAATGTTATGCACTACTCAGTGTTAAAGTCACACATCAGACTAAATTAATCAAACAAATCAGTAAACTGACTAAGTATTAAATATTCAGAACTGGAATATAAAAGGAAATTTTAGTTGGAAAAATTTTTGAGCATTTGTTACGCAGATGTTATTAAGGAACATAAATAATACACATTTAAATTAGTAAGTAAGTAAATTTTATTTCTATAACACTTATCACAGACATGGAATCACAAAGTGCTTCACATAGATCAAAACAAAATAAAACAAAGTCATAAAATCATAGATTAACATCATAAAATCAAAATGCTCTGAAAACAGAATTAGATTAACATCAGAAAAAATAAAGTCATAAAATTATACATTTTCATAAATGGATGAAAGATTAAAAATTTGAGTTAAAAAGAAAATAAAAGGTTTAGTCAAAAGCAGCTTTAAATACAAGGGTCTGCACCTTCAAGAGTTTAGGTTGATCGTTTTTCACTTTCAAAAAGCCATCGTGTCTGACGTGTTTTTTCTTCTTTATGACTAATGAGCAGCTGTTTTACCATCATTGTTTCCTAATCTGTTGCTTTTTCTTCTCAGGCTTATAATTTATGAATCAGTGGTTTAATTTAAGTCCTCCTTTTTTCCTTCAGCCGCGTTTCACGAGCAGAAGGCGTGTCTGCGGTGACACAGACCGAGTTCCAGACTTTACCAAGCTACCTGAGGAGCATGACTCTGAGCAGCCTCAACCAGGTCATCTCCAACATCAACAGATTTTTGGAAGAGCATCAAAGTGAGTTCTGTTGTGCACGTAGAAACATAAGCAGCTCTCGTAGTACAGGTACGTCTCCAAAAGTTACAATGTTGTGAAAATGTTAACTGTCTCATGTCAGTGAGTGAAACTCGTACATCAAATAGGTCCATTAGACCAAGAATGTCTTATTTACTGTAATCGAGATGATTCTGGCTACAGATTAGAAAACCCAACATTCAGGGTCGCAGAACGTTAGAATGCTGTAGAAAAAGTTAAAGTACCTAGAACACACCTGCAAAGTTATCTGAGCCTCTAAATTGTCTCAGTCTGGCTCAGTAGACTGCTGACTGGACATGTGTCCAGAAGACGGTCACTGTCCACGAGGAGGGGAGCCAGAAAAGGTTGTTGCTAATGAAGCTTCTTGTTCAGAGTGCAGCATGTTGCTGAGTAGTAGTAAAAGTGGTGGTAGGAGAAGCTGCAACCGGAGAAACCATAGTGTTGAGAGGCCTGTTCAGAAAAACCCATTCAGGAACCTGGAGGAGCTTCCCCAGGAGCATCACGAGCTCCTACACACAGATCAATCCTACACACGGATGTCACATTCTTCATGTCCAGACCCTCCTGAACCAGACCGCACCAGAAGCATCTCACCTGGGCTTAGGACAACAAGACCTGGGGGACATTTGGAAATCAAGGTCCCAGAGTCTGGAGCAATAGTGGAGAGGCTCTAGATCCATGTTGCTTCATGTTCAGAGTAGGGTTGTCACGGTAACCGGTGTAGCGGTAAACCCCGCTTAAAAAGTTGACAATAATAATAACCGGCTTGTTTTTAAAAACATATTATCTCGGTGGATTACCGTGGCTGCGGTGTCGGAGCGGTGACCCTTACCAGCCACCGTATCATCTGCTGAAGTTGCCGGCGGCACAAACGCGTTTTGTTGTTTATGACCAAAACTTTCTTGAAGCTAAAGCCGAAATAATGGCCAAAGGAGGAGACGGCAGCGCGCAGGACATTTATTATCCCTCAAAGAAGACAAAGTGGGAAGTACGGGCATTTTGTGGATATGTGAAGAATGCCGAGGGACAGTTGATAGAAGACGACTATCCTGTTTGCAGCACGTGCAGAAAAAGTGTCTGTGAAAGGCAGCAACGCTAGCCTAGTGAACTAGACCAAATTCTTGCTTTGCAAAGTTTGGTCTAGGCATGCTCCATTGGAACCTCCACAGCTCCTACCAGGACTCTGGCTGGCCAATCACAGCTCTCTAGAGGGGTTTCAAACACATAAAGAGCTGTGATTGGTCCATAATGGTGGGCCAATAATAGTGCTCTATCTGCTGAGTGAACAAATCACAGAGCTTTATCTGCTTTGTGGGCCAATCAGGGCACTCTATATGCCTGGTGGGTGGGATGATGTAACAGAGTGAAATAAGAGTATGTCACATTCATTGTCCAGTGGAATGCGGAGATCATTTGAAAGACAACGGTAGAACCCGCCCCACAACCGAGAGCCGTCAATGGAGCGTGGCCAGACTAAATAATACATTTATCTAGTCTGGCTTGCCAGGCTACAGTAACGCTTCAAATCTCATGACACATCTGCGTGACCATCACCCACAACTCTACAGTCAACGCAAGGCAAGCTAACGTTAGCGTTTTAGCTCAAATGCGTGATCCGAGGATTTGGGTTGAGGGAGAATGCAACGAGTCGCTATATAAAGCAGCCGCAGCGCCGCTACCTGCATATAAACCGTGTCGCGGACACCCCCATGTTGAAATGACGCTGCATTACGGGGCTCCCAGGGGCAGATAAGAGTTGGTCTCTCTCTGAGAATAATTATGAATTCAACAACGATTACTGCCTGATGACATTTTCCCACATCTGCAAAGCTCACTGGAAGGACACAAACCGAGGACAATATTTTCCTGATAAAGGGTTTATTACTCAAGTAAGAGTAAAAAAGAATCCGATTAGAAGGCTACCTGAATACTGAGTATCATCTGATCTAATATTTTTAAATGATGACATCAAACAGACAAAAAATAAGAAGTTATGGGCAAATATTGGTATTTTAAAGACTAAAGGGAAAAAATGTAAACAAATAAACAACATAATTACAAAATAACACATTTTAGACAAAAGTTAGACACAAACTGAGGACAATATTTTCCTGATATACAGGGTTTATTTTGAAAATGTAACATGTTTAAAAAAATACTGCGATAATACCGAAAACCGTGATAATTTTGGTCACAATAACCGTGAGGTTACATTTCCACACCGTGACAGCCCGAGTTCTGAGTGAAGCGTCATCAAAGCGCTGCGTCATCTGCTGGTGTTGGTCCTCTGTAAGTACAGAACATGCCATGCTTCCTCCATGACTGCGGTGTTACGGGGCGTGATTGGCCTGACCTGAAACCCCCTTATAGAATCTTTAGGGTCCTGTCCAGAGAAAGATGAGACACCAGGCCTGAGGGATGCTATAAAGCCAGTCTGCCTCCATCACCTCAGCACAGCCAAAGGCTCTTATCTGTTGCCATAATCATCATCAAAGTTACAAGAATATTTAGCTCTGCGTGTTATGGGTCTATACAATGAACCAGTGACTTTTAGGTCTTTTCTCTCAACTGTCTCATTTTTGAGACGCTCATGTGGATCACACAGATGTCCTCTGTGGGACTGTCGTTACTGCACACATATGATGGCTTTTTGTAGGAAATCAGATTATCTCTAGTACGCAGGTGAAAATCTGTCCAAACAACAGACCCCCAGGTGGTTAAATCTGATCTGAGTTTAGCTAACAAACAGTTGAGTGAAGTTTGGGGTTTTACGTTGGGATAACATGGCTGCATCTTTTCTTGTTCTCTGGCGCCCTCTGCAGGAGAAATGAAGGGTTTGACAGATGAAGAGCTGCGGGAGGCCGTCGGTTTTGGGACCAAATCTCCTGTGTACATCGTCTGTCTAAAGGAGCTCGGGAGGTTGTAACATGTGGAAGGCATTTTTGACGCTGATGTTTACAACCTGGTGACCCAAAACAAAAGACGGAGGCCCTCAGGCCTGAGAGAATCCTGTCTGGACTCAGAAAACCTGATTCTCAGAGTTAGAGACGCACAGAGAAGTCTCATCTGAGGAACTTCAGCAGAGACGGAGTTTGTGTTTAAGCTGTAAATGTGCATCATAAAGTCCCTTAATATCAAACACTAGAGGAGCTCTGTAGATGATGAATAACAAGTATTAAAGATGAATGATATAAAATTAATGGCTAGTTTTCTAAATGTCTAAATGATTGTTTATTTTACTTTCACAGCTCCACTTGGACTGATTTTTGAATAAATGTTCATTTATGGTGAATCATTAAAAGTACATTTTAGAAAATTGTCCTACGCTTTGTTCTTTACAGTAATTATTGAAACATAATTTCTGCCTTTGAACAGAATGACTTTTAGGGGATTGCAAATGTTTTTATTTTGAAAGGACCCAGTTAATGTTTAGTTTTTGACAGTTTTTTATTTCTTTTTACGTCAACAGGCAGATGCTGACTAGGCTTTAGTAACTTTTGTTCAGCTGATCACACGAGCTACAGCGTAAAATGCTGTTTTAACGTCTTCAGAATGCCAGATCACAGCAGCATCTTTAGAAAACAAATAACATGCTTGTGTTTTATTTAATTTCTATTCATCTGAGTTTTTTACAGCCTTTATGTGACCACGTTGGGTTTGTTTATTTTTATTTGGTGAAAGACAGTTTTTAAGAAACCAACAGCTGAGTTTTCGTGAGTAACTACTTTGATTGATAACTTAAATATGGGAACATTCAGCATGATTGATCTGGTGAGCTGCCTCCTCGGTGGAGTTTCTGATCTGTTTTGCTTTCACCCTGATGAATTGTTTTTGACTGGTTTGGTTTAAAAAGGAGCGACTGGCTGATGAAATGCATGCATTTGTTTTAATTTATGAAAGAAAAAGCTGCAGAGGAGGCTCCGCCTCCAGCGTCAGAGAGCAGGTCAAAGGGACGATGCGTCACTCCTTTGCTGTTTTAGAAAAGTTCAAATCATCGGTTCAAATACAGCCGTGTGTTGAAATCATATTTATGTCGATGGTTGAAATAACCCCTTTACCCCAAGCTTTCGTTCATTTCAGTTTAAACTTTTGTTTGGAAATGTTTAATAATCGTCACAACCTAACTATTGGATTACATATTACATGCACATACTTTTAGGTAAACAAATAAATTGATATGAAAAGGTTGCAATACACCGCAAACGAATTTTATTTTTGTCTTAACTGCTGTTCTGTTTTACTTCCGATTCGCACTCCTAGAGCAGAGCATTTGGGACCACCCCGCAGGTGTGAACGCTCTTTGAAATAAACGATCTTGGTGCTGACGTGCGTCGGGTACGTCACGTGACCTGTGGAATGTTAACAATGCAGCGAGTGTCCAACTTAGTGCCGAATTTCTGATCCTGCCTGGAGTCAGGGCAGAAAATGGAGGCTTATTTAACCAGATTTGCCCCGCTCCTCTTTCTCTGCTGAGCTTCTCCGGTTCGTCTGCGCGCTACCCGGACCTCAGAAGACGCCGTTTAACGGAATTTACTCTGTAATCCGGAGTATTCTCGCTACTTCTATCACATGGTGAGTCGGGAGTTACTTTTTCTGGGGAGGGGAGTGGTGGTGCGACTTATTTTCACTGCTTGTCGAGGAAAAACTTCAACAGCCGTGTTGTGCTGCAAGGACACTAAAACCCCAACGTTTCCAGCTACCTTGTGTGTTTAACGCCTGTTCGGGATAAACAGGGCTGCCTCTGTGTGGTTTTTTCTCCCCTCCTGCTCAGGAATGCGCTCCTTGCCTCAGCCCCGATGCCCGGGGTACAGCGCCGAAGGCCACAGGGCTTCCTGAACACTTTTACCTCCCGGGGGTCACAGACTGCAGACGTGTTTGCAACTGTTTTAGACGCTCAGGCTGTCAAACGCCGTTCTCTTGTGCTAAAATCAACTACATGTGGATTTTGTGATCAGACCAGCACAAAGCGATCCAGAACTTCTCAGCTATGAGATGTTTTGATCTCCAAACACTCGTACAATTACGCTTTAAGTCACTTTTAAGCAGCTCTCCAAACCTGTGAAGTTAACCAGATAATCAGAGCTGCTGTTCATCACATCTGTACACGTGTTTGAGTACAGGCAGACCACAGCTGGATCTGAAGGTTGGTCCGCACAGCAGTGCAGATGTTTACAGATGTTTTATGGTAACGAAGATTACAAAAAGGCTTTATTTTATACATTGAAATTATAGTTTTATCACAGTTTACATTTAGTTTTTTATGTTGCTATTTGGCAACATAAAAATGATGCAACCACACTAGAACATAATATATTCACAAAATTTAATCGGTTTTATTTATTTATTTCTAGTTTTGCAGTGACTTCTACATTAGCTACTGGTTTAAGTAGAATAGAATAGACTTGATTAATCCCACAGTGGGGAAATTCACTTGTTACAGCAGCACCAACAATTAAGAGAATACTTAGAAGAAACATAACGAAGGTACATGTATATACACATAGGCAGTAAGCTATTATTGTAACCTTTGATCACTAAAACCCACAAATAAAAAATGAAGAACTTGGGTTCTAGAACTATGCAGCATACTGTAAGGGACACAGTCATACTATGTAAACCTGGTATTGAACGCACACTGAGCATTATATGGCTGCATTTATCAGAATTATCATTAATTTAGCATTATGATCTCTAAACAATACATAATTATTCATAATAAACCAGGACACGTACATTTCACCCACAGTAAAGTCATGTAAACAAAACAAAGATTTAGGTATGAAGTTATCACCATCAGCATAACTTTCTTCTGTAAACGGCCTTTCTTGTCAGGCAGGAAGTGATTAGGCTTGGAGTGTGTCATGTCTAAAGAAGTCCTGGTGGAAACAGCCCTTAAGGACTAAGGGTGTGTCTCAGTGTCAAGTCGCCTGGCCTAGAAAGGCGGTGTCTTGCTAGGCCAGACACCGTTCTTCCTTGGTCAAAGAAAACTGGTAAATGGAACAGACCTGCCTCACGTGACTGCGGCGGTCACATCACGTGAGACACGGTCACATTACATAGGTATAATTTTCAATATAGATGTACATTTTTATTGTGCATATATTGGTTAAATTAAATATGTAAGCGATTTACTACCTGCTAGCCCCCGAAGCTGCAACTAACCATAGACAACTGCTTTAGATCTGTAAAACATTTTAGGCATCAGTCTGACAGCTACAAGTAGTTGACTTACGTTTAAACTGGAAATTTACCCCTGAAGTAGCTGCCAGCTCCCGGTCCACCATCCTTTTGATGATACCGCGCTGTATTCTGGGTCATTTTTGACCAAGAGAAGGCACTTTCCGTGTATCCTTGCTCAGTAAGCTAAACGCCTAACAAACGGAGAACAGATGCCTTGACATTGAAAAACACCCCAAGTTCACTGAGAAATTGTTATGTATGTACTGGGTTTTCTTGTGTAATTTGTGAAGATAAAACATCAACATTGCAGAGAAAACAGAGTCATGGTTGAGTCTCGTTGCTGTTAGCCAATCAGAGGCGAGATGTCTGAATATTAGAGTTGAACGATTCTGGCATTAGCATCGGAGAGGCAAGCCATTAGCGTGCCTAGGCTGGCCACTAGCTGGATTTCCTACCCCCTTGACGGACCGTAACCCCCAAATTCCACTACCTCCGCTCCGCTCCGACACGAACGCCGGAGCAAAATCGGTCCCGTTGTAGTCAATCAGAGCAATTCCACTACTGCGGCCATGCTCCAGCAGTGCGGCGCAGCGCGCCGCCCTCTGTTCCGACGTCCGGCAAAAATAGAATCGATCCTATTTTTGCCGGACGCCGGAGCACCTCCGCAGTAAATGCACAGAAATCACAACCGCCCAACAGGAAAAGGAGCAAGCACAACTTCCGTTTTTCACAATAAATCGATAAACAAAAGGCGTTTTTTGTTTCATATGCACAGGTTTAACAACTTTTAACAACTATCAATGGCGGTTGAACTTTGATTGCACAAAAATGAGCCATAAATACAGTTTCCACTATCAAAGTAGTCACACTTTGTTGATCCAAACACTGCTGATCTCTCAACACAAATAATGGGCAGATTAAACAGTTCATTTCGATGCTTCTCCCACACAACGGGTGTTTGGATCTAACTTCCGCGTTTACTGATCGGACTGTATCGCAAGATCTCGAAAATCCCACGCATGCTTGTTTGCCCACCTCAGGTCTCCGCACCGGAGCGGAGCCGTTGTAGAGCGGGTACCAGTAAAAATTGAGTTCGGAAGCGAGCGGCTGCGGAAGGCGGGGGCGGAGCGGAGGTAGTGGAATTTGGGAGTAAGCATGGATAGGTTGGCATTAGCATCGGAGAGGCTAGCCATTAGCATGTCTCGGAGAGTCACTAGTCAGCTAGTGGCCAGCCTAGGCACGCTAATGGCTAGCCTCTCCGATGCTAACGCAATCCTATCCATGCTAATGGTCCGTCAAGGGGGTAGGAAATCCAGCTAGTGGCCAGCCTAGGCAAGCTAATGGCTAGCCTCTCCATGCTAATAGACAGCAGAGGGAGTGTGTGAACCAGTCAATTACCAGCCGAGGGCTGATAGTCCCTAGCGTATTTAGTAATAACGCCCGTAAAGGTGCTATTTCTCAGTTAGCAGCACCAGCCTCTCAGTTACCGGCGCCAGCTTATCATTAATCAGGTCGATAGTTTGCTTCAGAATTTATATAGCCTCCTGCTGCTGGGAAGTAGTCTTAATTTTGGCCCCCATACCACACCATAATCATTTGGCACGTTCCTAATTCGTAATTTGTAAGAATGTAATTGGCGATATTAGCATTAGCGTCCCCATGGGTTTTTCCATGTATATTAGCATTGTGCTAACCACTCGCTGCCAGTCAAATCACAGCCTTTGCTATTAGAAAACCTCCTTTTGTCACATGGCAATTTAATTGCATATGCAAATAATCGTTCAGCTCTACTGAATATCTGGAAATAAGACTCCAAATCCAGCCGTCTGCTCTGACTCACTTCTAGTTCCTGAAACGGGAGCGCTAGAGCTTTTTTATCAACAGAACAACTCACAAGGCATTCAGTTATGCTAGAGGCCCTTCAAATGTGTTGGCAAACATGAGCGTACTTGGCCTTTAAACACACGCTCATGATCCAACATGTTTTTACTGTGATGTTTAGATTTGTAAAAGTCCCTAAATTGCATCTCAAAAATGGTTATTTTTTTCCACTCTGTCCTGCAGGCTAGACACGATCTTATCATGCTGAATTGGAATGTTTATTATGTGAAGTGCCTTGAGACGACTCTTGTCGTGATTTGGCGCTATATAAATAAAATTGAATTTAATTGAATGCTGTTTTATTTTGGTGAGCTACACCTGAGTAGTTTTTGTGGGCTGAAACTCCAGAACACATTCACTCCCAAAGTTTTTGACTTGGATATAAAATCAAATGTTCAGGTTAAAGGAGCAACCGGTTCAGCTCAGGATCATCACTCATCGATGAAAACAACAATCGCCTTAGATTGTCTTCTTCGTTCAAACTAAACTTCTGTTCCTAACATTAACACCTAGTGGTCGTTTTAGTGACTACATAGAACACCGATTCATGGAGTTGCATGACAAAATAAGTTATTTTTATTTTCTTATACAACTTTTTGCATAAGAAAATAAAAACTTGTCATTCAAATGTGCAGTGCTGTATAGTATGGTATGTTTTAAATAAAGTCTCCGGTTGACATCCAGTGTGGGGTTGAGTCTGGGGGCTTTTCTTGCATCTTATGAAGTTTGTGTTTTTTACTGCCCTGACAAATCCCTAATCCATGTCACAGTCCCTCCATTTATAAGATGGTTTTGGTTTATTTTGGGCAAAGCGAGCTGTCCCATGATTCAGTGGTGGTGTTTTACTCCTAGTTGCTCGTGGAATGGAATTTTCATCGCTCCGACGCGGAACTCAAAGCATCACAGGAATGGAGACGACGGATCCCAGAGATGGGGATTTGTTTTCTCCTCAGCTTGGCCCAACATTACCCCGCTGCCCAGCTATATTTAAAATAAAAAACATATTTGTCCAAACAGAAGGGACTGTGTCTTTCCTAGAAATGGCCTAAAGGGATGGAGAGGGCCAAGGAGGAGGCGGGTGGGTGTGTCCTCCACAGCTCTGAGTCGTGTGGTTGATATTATTATAAAACTCATGATGGACATGTTTTCTAGAGGTGCATTCTCACTACATGGAGTTTCTTTATTGTCTACAGACTGAAATATTTTTATCCACAGTTGTCCAGTCCTGGTCCCCCAGGGGCCCCATCCAGCAGATTCCAGCGGTTTCTCTGCTCAGTGGGCAATTTCCAGGCTTGTTAGAGCTCGATGACCTGCTGAATCAGGTGTGTTGGAGCAGGAAATGACTAAAACATGCTGGATAGGGGCTCTCTGGGACCAGGAGTGGAGAACTCTGACATAATTCTGTGGAAATACTCAATCTGTGTCATTCATTAAAGCGAAAACATTGTGAGAATTGAGTCGCTGGACAGTGAAAACTCCCTCTTTGACTCTTTGGATAAAGGCTCCTCTTGGATCGTCATGTGAGCCTCCTGACAGGAACATGTGCACATTTTCCACATGTCACCCCAGCTGCCCTGGAGGAGTAACGCTGTCGTGGCAGAATGTGGAGCACGCTCCTCGGGATCAGACTGCCGGCCGAGGGGTGTGAAGCGTCTGATCGGCAGAGGGGCTGATGCGGGGTGGGCCGTGCTGGAGCGGCGTGCTCTCAGAGGGGTGTTCACGGATGACCACACTGCTGAAGTATGCAGCCGCTGCAGCTGCGGTCGGGTTTTATGAGCACCGACGTTCTTGAGGTTATTCACTGTAGGTTCTGAATTTGACTCCCTGGCTTCCAGGTAATAATAGTCTCAAACTGGTACCAGGAAGAAGCTGTGACATTTGGTGACCACTGGCAACATGCTTCAAATTCCCGTTCTTTCTCCTTACATTTGAGTGGAACGTTTGAGGGTTGCCTCCTTTAATCTCCTGTTATGATCTCCGTCCCACAGCTACAACTGACTCCCAGTCTAAGCACCACATTCTTGTGGTTGAGATGGATTCTGCTCCTTTTGCATTGGTGATGAGAAAGGTCAGATGGTAATGACGACGTTCTAACGTGATCTTCCCCTCCACAGGAGCAGATTGGCATCATCATGGTTTGGCTCTGCAGGACCCACATGTTCAGCTGCGTTTCCTGGAATAAGCTGGAACCTGAGCTTTGAAAGCCACACCATGGAATGCTTGTAGTATCCCGCTTCGCCTCTCGTCCGTCCACCCCGCCAGGAATTAGAAACACAAAGTGAGACACAAACAACTGAGGAGGTCCCTTCCATCGCTGCCTCTGATCTGTTGTCCTGGAGACTATCTAGGTCACACTTGGAGGTGGTGCTTTTGAGGGTGTAGTTGGGTGAGTGCAGCTTCTCCCTTTTAGAGTAGGTGCCTGCCCTGGGCACTCTGGCAATGAGGCCCAAGACTTTCCCAGCTGCCCCGTATGTGGGCAACACGCGGCAGCGGCTTCAGGAGATTAAGGAGGGCCTGAAGCAGCCGGCCAAGCTGGTGAGCCAGGCTCTGCTTGGGGGGGGCTCCCGGGCCGAGGGCAGCAGGAGCGCAGACTCCAAGGGCGGGAAAGACGCCACCAGCCGGCAGCAGCACCCCCGCCCGCCACAGAAGTTCAACAACTACCAGAACGCTCTGCGAGAAATCCGCAGGTCCCTCATGCCCTTCGCCAACGGGCCAGGAGAGGCTGAGGAGGTGAACCGGCAGATGCTGCAGGAGCTCGTCAACGCCGGCTGTGATCAGGTGAGCCTCACTGTTCATGCTAAGGAAGATGTGGTTGATAAAGGTGTCTTTAAACTCTGACCATGGTTGGAGTTTTAGAAGTGACAGGTTGAAGTCAGAAAAAAGGACTGCACCTCAAGCACAGATGCTCTTCGAGAGTCATCCATGTTTTCTCCATGAACTGGTCTGGAGCAGCTGGAAGCTGCTGATACTTTATATCTCTGCATCATCCAGCTGCACAAGAGTAACCTGTTTATTTCAGAGTTGATCCACTTAGAAGTCATAATGGTCAGGGGTCTCGTTTATCAAACATTGCGTAGAATCCTTACTAAAACCGTACTTAGGCCAAGTAGGTTTGTGACCGATACAACATGGAGTACGCACAGGCTTGTTCTGTGTGAGCACGAAGCGGTACAAGTGATAATTTTATCCTTCTCAGCAGCAGCACTGCAGGTGCTCTCCATGTCCAAAATGTGCGTAAGCCAGGTCCTTAGTCAACTTAAAGTTGTGCATTTTTCCACTAAGTTTTCTTTCATAAATCCCAAAGATTGCGTGGAAAGCTGCTCACGCAGTTTTTCGACCCCGTTTTGTGCGTAAGCAAGCTTGATAAATGAGGGCGCAGGTCTTTAAAATCTAAATTTCCGTTATCGCATGATTGGTAGTACGTCCCATTAATGCTCCGGGGTGGCCATCTTCTCACAACAGAATGTTGTTCCCTCTGCTGGAGCCACTCCGCCTCCTTCAGTCAGGAATTAGAAAATAAAACACCCTAGTGCTTTTGGGTACGACACAATACAAGTCTCTCCTGCCAAGTAGTAACTGGGTTACATAGTAAAAGCTCCAGTGTTGAAATGTCAGGTGGGTTTCTCAATCGGGATGTTTGGGATTTTTCACCCTTCTTCCCACTTTCAGGATATCCAGCAGGCCCGGAAGAGTCAGGAGACTTCCCATGAGTGAAACCTTTTAGCTGCTGCTCATCACTCCCTGTATTAGACCGGGCATCCCCATAAGGACCAGTCTTTCATCAGCTTAAATGTCTGTTATTGTCTAAAATCATTGCCACACAGTTCGAGCTCCAGTTCCTACTTCTGGTCTGAACAGCAACTAGAAACCTCTGAGATCTCCTCAGGATCTTCTCTCTGGGAACTAAAGTAACAGTGAAGCGCCTGGAGCACGTTTGGGGCCCGACCAGAGCAGATGATTAAATCACAGATTGTCCTGTTAGTCCAGTTAAGATCTGGGACATTTGTGGTTTCAAACCCCTGTGATGGAGCGCGGAATGTGAAGAATGCTCCGCTCAAGCCCGTGCACGGCGCTGAGGAGGAGGAGAGCCTACAAACTGATTTCAGCTTGCCACAAAGACCCAGTGTTTGCGCTGCATCTTGTTTCCACATCTGGAACCATGAGGTGCCGCGTTGGAGGATCAGGGGACAAAAGCAGTCTTGGTAATCAGCTCTTTCTCTAAGAGGTAGTTAAACATTAGTGTCAGCATACATTTTATTTCCACCGACCTTTACAGAAGTCAGGGGAAGGTAAATGCTGCTGTCCTGAAAACCAATCTGAGCATCAGGGTCAGTTTCGGTTATATGTTTGAAATGAATCTGAAACGCTCGCAGGCTCCACTTCCTGCTGCAGCGGTGACCTCTTTCTGCACCATTGTGAACGGACCAGAGCAAGGCGGGTCCAGTCAATACAAACAGGAAAAGAACATTCAATGGCAGCAGGGCGGACCAGTTCCTTCTGCTGCAGTCCAGTCTCCACCCAACACGTCGCCTCTCCTCCACCTCCTCTTCCTCTGTCGCTGGTCTGTCTGTAGGACAGCGCTGCTGGGTGTTTGTCCCCGTTTGTTCCTGTCGACTGTGTACAACTCCCCTCGGTCCACCAGGATAAACCTTCTAAACAAAGAAGGTATTAATTCATCTACAGACGAAGACCAGGGCCACTAAAGATTTATTTCTCTGATTTCTGAGATAGAAGTCTAAAATCGTATTAATCTCTTCTGTATATATTGAATGTGAGTGTCTGCAAAAAGAGAAAATATATTATTTTCAATGGGTTGTTGATATTTTTGGAGAATGATGTAAAAAAAGTAAACAACAGATATGAGAGTGGTGTTTTTAGTGTCATTCTGTTCAATTTAAACATGAACAAAATCAAAAGCTGCTTAAATTTGAATTTTTTTTTATTCTATCTATGTTTAAAACTAAGTTTTTAAAGTAATGTTATCCAGAGCGAAGAGCCATTGTAGAAGATCCAAGCAGCCTCAGGTTGTCGATTCCTAAGCTAGGCTAACCTTAAAGGGACATTATGGAAGTTTGACAGCCAAAACATGTATAGCAATAATAAATGTCTTCTTCATACATTCTCCTGCAATGCCCTGGTCCTGTAGAATGAGCCCTGGCATTTTTACTGTGATTGTCTGTTTTTCACAGAAAAAGAGAGCTGCTCGGGTCGAGCAGGCTGCTTCATGCGCGTTCACGCTCAGCCATAGCCCGTAGCATTTGCTATCAGTAGCTTTAGCAGCAGAGAGTGAGGTAGTGCCAACTCAGCGACGTTGTCGCTGTTCCTAACGCCTAGTGATGAACCTAGCTACATTTCTGAGGACCCTTAGCTACTTTCTGTAGAACTTTCTTCTAGATATTTCCTGCAAATTAGCAACAAAATAGCCATTTTCGCTCCGAACTGTTCGTTGAACGTTGTTTCAGCTGTCATCAAGGATATAAAAGTTACAGATACTGTGAATGTTACTAGAGTGTAGCTCACCTTGTAAGATGTTTGACTCCCATGCAGAAGACTTGGGTTCGATTCTGGGTGTGAACATGGTTTATTTAGAGTTTCTTTTTTACATTAATGGTATATTTTTTTATAGTAAAATGCCCAAATTTTTATTTGAGACTCGCCGAATGGCATTGAATTCACAGATAAAAAAGATGTGGATTCAACTTTCATTTTGGAACAATTTTTCAAGCAAGGGAAGGGAATGATCTGAGCATGCAGGAGGACTGACCCATCATAAACCTTTGTCGGCTGTGCTGAAGAGAAAGGTACAGAACCAAATTATTTAATTAATTAGCTGCGTGTTCTCCTGTCCTCTTTCCTCCGGGACACACGCACGCACACACACACACACGGGACTGTCTCAGCTGTCATTTTCGTTAAGGAGTGTGCACGTACAGCATGCGCGCCTCGTGCACGAGCCTACTATTGAAGCTGCCGTTACACTTTTGGCCTGAGGGGGCAATCACGAGCATAACAATTCAAAAGTCCGTAAAGTCCCTTTAACCTGATGTCAGGCTAATGCTACGGTTGGCTGGCGCACATGTAACTCTCTCCACCACTAAACACGTGTTACTGAAGTTTATCTCACTCACTTTTCTTTCTGTAAATGTAGCTTTTTCATTTTTTTTTTCATGCTTCGAGCCCCTGGGACACCCATCAGCATTAGTATTATTAATGTTGTTATTAAACTACCATCAAACAGCTGGAGTCTGTCACCTTGAAACGCTTCCAGCCTGACTCTTATCAGCTGTCCTTGCCTTCCTCATTTTTATGCTTCTCCAGCTGCAGAACACACACCGATGTGGCTTGTTGCATAATCCCGTCATTTATTTATTTATTTTTGAAGGAGGAACTGTTTTTGGGAGGCGGTGAGGGTGGGGGTGGCATGCCGGGCGATGAGATGACAAGAAAAGGAAGGGGATGGAGAGGGCTGCTCTATCTGCGCACTTCTGTCATCCAAGAGGTTTTGTGGACCTTTTTCTGTAACTCCTGAGCATAAAAAGACCGCGAACACGTGAGAGTAGGATACAGTATTTAATGTATGGCGGAGGTCAACAGGCTAGATATGTTGGTGGTGTGTTGGGCTCACCCTGCAATCATCCCTGTGGACACGTCTTATTTTCTTAGGAAAAGGGTGAAGAACTCTGATACTGGCGAGTCCTATCTCCACTACATGTGGTTTTGATTTCCTGGGTCCAGAACTGGAATGTGTTCTAGAACTGGGTCAATAATTTGGCGAAAATCAAAAACACTCCTGCTAATGTTTTCCAGGCTAGTGTGAAGACAAAGAGTGAGTGTAACATAGATGTTAAGGCTGCTTATGATGAGCTAGCCCAGCCTTCAGACCATTATGACAAGAGTGTAAATGTGGCCTGGATACTGAGAGGGAGAAGGCCCGTCCACATCGCAAATAGCTTGAATTCCTGCTTCCTGCATTAAGGAATGTGAGTGAGGAACATCTGTCAACATGGCAACTGGGTTCGGTGGACCCGCCTCCTGACAGCGCGCGCGCACACACACACACACACACACACACACACACACACACACACACACACACACACACACACACACACACACACACACACACACACACACACACACACACACACACACACACACACACACACACAGTGTGAAAACAGAGCAACTTTGATTCTGGAAATGGATCTCTAACTCAGAACTGACTTATGCCTGGTTTGATATGTAGATGACCTCTTTATCACCCACTGCCAAAAGGTGTGTGTGTGTGTGTGTGTGTGTGTGTGTGTGTGTGTGTGTGTGTGTGTGTGTGTGTGTGTGTGTGTGTGTGTGTGTGTGTGTGTGTGTGTGTGTGTGTGTGTGTGTGTGTGTGTGTGTGTGTGTGTGTTGTAAGCATCCACAGCTGATTTAAAGCAACACTAAATACATTTCCCACTAATCCCTCCCACTGGTTGAAAGTAGAAGTAAAACTGTCGTAAACAACCCTAAAGCACCCTGCTGTAGCTAGCACTAACAACAAGCTAATGCTAACACAAGCAAACTGATACCAAATAAGCCACAAAGTAAAAGATCCACACTTTTTAACAAAAAATATTACAAGTCCGAAAGCAACAAAGCCAGGTCACCATCAGTCTGTGGTAGAGGTAGAGACCTCCCCTTTAGTGTTCCTACCTGAGCTAAAAAAGGTGTTAAGGTTAGGGTCCAGTCAGCAGAGGGCTGCAGAGTGATGTCTGATGGGAAGTTGTTCAGGTCTGTGGCCG